ATTAATTCTTTTAAATATATTTTTTATTCCATTACTCTTGTTAAATCAGTAGAAATGTTCTAGTTAATTTTTTACAATTACATTTTTAGTGGAAAATATACAGGACCATTAAACTGTAAAAATTACATTAGAATTCAGTACATTGTATATATTAAGAGAGTAATGGATTGTGTAATTATGGTTATTTATAATATAGGAAAAATCATAATTTTTTATTTTGTTTTCATTATTCATATTGTATAAATTATATACACACATAATATATACCAATGTCTTGTAATATTGATATACAATATAATAAAAATATTTACATAATCATAATACAATTATGAGATTAGACATAATAATATGTCTCTAGTGTCATAGACATTATGCTCAAAACATGTATGATAAATTATGTTTAAATTATTAAATTATAGAAATTTGAGCAATATCTTATACTTAATTTCATTTAATATTTAACTAGGTATATATAAATTCACGCTTAAATATTACATATAATATATGCTTTTAATTCATTTATATATTTATTATTCAGAATAATGCGAACATAGTACTTATTTATGAATACAGTACTAAAAATGCGTCCCCGATATATTCTTATTTCTACTTTAATGCAGTGTTTTTTTAAAATAAATATATTTATATGCATCAACAATAAAGTTGAAATAATAATAAGAATATGTATAAAAACATAAATAAAATTTGTTATTACTATATTCATTCTAATAGATTAAAATATAAAATTGATGTACTAAATTATGTGTTATATTATTAAAATATTTTATTTATCATTTTTAGTGTTTATATAAACGCCTAAATATTAAGGGGCAAATAAAGGAAACAAATTCAGGTATAAACATTAAAAATGAATTTTATCTTTTTTTAATGCTTATAAATGTAAATAAAATAAGTTACAAATAAATCATAATTTAACGTAAAAAATCTTTTAGTAATATAAAATAATAAATAAATATTAAAGGAAATATATTTATATATTAAAATAATATATTACTAATTATTAAATATGAATGTAAAATAATTATATATAAAAACATATACAATTATATAAATTACGGTCTTTATTCCTTTTTAATATATTATTGTTTATATATGATAAGGATATTGTATTAAAATGAACAGCAAAGTTATTTTTTTATAATTAAGTGTATATAAGATATGCTATAGTTTTTTATTACAATATATATATAAGAAGTAAACATTAAGTATTTCGTAGAACATAAGATATTAGATAAAAATATATCCATTATGATAAATAATGTTATATATTAATTACTGTATAATGAGGAATATAAATAAAATTATATTATTATATATACAAAAATATAATTATAATATAACTTATGTCAATTTCTTTTATTTGTACTAAGATATAAGAACTATATATATTTAGTGTAACAGGAAATACAAAAAAATAAAAATAATGTCTCTATTGTAAATAATCGGATATAATTTAATTTCTTTTATGTTTCTTTTATAAGATATTATAACACAAAACCCAATGCATTTGTAAATAACAATAGGAAACATAATGTTATAGCATAACAAAAATATAATAAAAAAATATAAAATAACAGATATATTCATGTATTTGCAAGGATATTATATAGATTCATAAGGGATGCTCATAGTCCGATATATAAACCACCAACAGTATACCTAAAAAATAAAATATTGAAACAAACTCGCGAATCTGATCACAAACCGATAAATATATATATAACTTAAAGCATTAAACCTACGAGCATTCATTTTTTACCCTAGATCTACAGCTTTTAAGAAATGGAAAAAATCACAATGTATTTATGTAGAATAATAAAATGTTTTAGTTCAGTTAATGGATTGTAGCAAACACATTTTCAATTTCGTATTCCATTTTTACACATATTTATTTTTCTCATATAATTTAAATTTAAGATACGTTAAAAATGTTTAAAAATATACTTTCACAACATTGGCTTATGCAAATAAATTAATTTTAAACTTCATGTATACTTCTATATAGACTATAATAATTTTTATATATACTGCAAAATTATTTAGTTTCTTTATATTTATTTTGTCGACGGGGAAATAAACCATTAAAATAGATGTAAAAATGAAATTCATATGAATAAATAAATTACTTATAATATATTTATGATTATTTTTTATTATACATGTTTATTTTCATTAACAATATTTTAGAATTAATATATATAATAATTTTAATAATTAAATAAAAATATGCCTTTTAACTCGTGCCTTAATGCCATGCATTATGCTGTTTTACTGGTGAATTAGAAAATAAAATACTTGTTATTATTTATTGAATATGTCTTGGTAAAAAAAATGTTGAAATATAATAAATTCATAGTATTTCTGTTATTTTATAAATGGTTGAGGAAATTGTAAGATATATATTATTAATAAATTATACAAAATATAATAAAGTGTGTAATCATATAATTTTAGGGGAATATAGAATTGCTGTTTTATTATATAAAATTTCACATTGACAAATTGTATTTAATTTAATATAATTATAAATTATATTGAATAACACTATATTAGTCATCTTGTTCTTATAAAAGTATGATTATAGAATAATTATTTACTATAAGTAATTATATGGAAAGTTTTTTCTCATAATCAATAATTCCTTCCTCTCTTATATTTCTATTTACTTAATTCTTTATATATATATTGATGCGTGTATAAATTTAATAAATATGTGTATATCATATGTAGGTTCAGGTGCGTATATTAAGAATAATTGATGAAATTATTTGTAAATTTATTATTCTTATTTATATAAACGATCGATTTTAATAAAATATATTATAGTAAATTATGTAAATTGTATTATGTCCTATGAATACAATATACAAAACGTGTAAGACTGTATAAAATTTAATAAATATCACTCGATGAATATTAAGGTTCCACTATTACATATATAAATATTTTTTTTATAGATATATTCCTTGTTTTATGCAAAATATATTAATCAATTTTAACATAAAAGAATTATTTATTTAATCATTTATCATTTTTATCATATGAATATTTTGCAATATAAAATCTTTAGTATTTATGGCATACAGGATAAAGGAGGAAAACATGAGGGACATACAAGAATCAAAAATTATAATTAACCTTATATTACACCAAATTATCAATATTCATAAAAGGAAAACAAGAGAATAATTATTAACTCTAAAGCATGAACAATTGTATTAGGATCTTTCCCAAATTTTTAAATGATAAAATATATAAATAATTATTATTAGATAAATTAGATTATAATATCAATTACAATATAATATAATGTAAATATTGTCTTGAATTATGAAAATATTAGATTATGATATATTTCATAATAATTATACTTTTATAATTAATATATTGATTCTTATTATAGACAATATAATTATACTTTTTTTATAGTTTGTGTTAATATATTAATGTTTTTACAAATAAATTAATAAAATACTCATGATAATTATATTTATATTGTTCCTTTCATTTTATTTTTCTATAGCACTTAATAACAAATTTTACATTTATTTACATATTATATTATAATAAATAAATGGAAGTCATAATTATATACATGATTTTTTGAAATTACAATTAGTATTTTGTACCGAAATAAAAAAAATTAAAATTTCTTATATTTTCACTTGTCATAATATATATTAACTATAATTTTTACTCAAAAATAATTAAATATACTATTCTGTTTTCAATAATGAGTAAATATAAGAAAAACACTTATAAGAATATTATAAAATTATCATATTTTTTCAAATTTAATAATTTATTAATGTTCATCTATCAAAATAAATTATAATGATATATAATTGACAAAATTGTGAATATATGTATCAAGAAATATAACATATAATATATAAATCATTACGAATTATCATGTAGAATAATAATCGTTTATAAGTGTGTATATATAACATTCAATTAATATATAAATTTTAGTTCACATTCTAAATGTAACATTATGATAAAAAAATTTATATATTAATGAGCCATTTTAATTTTCAATATATTCAATATTTCATTTGATTTATTGAAAGAAATATATTTCACATGTATTGTTCTGTTATATTAAATAAATTTTGCACTTATATTTATCACAATTATTGCCATAATTATTTAGGTATACCAAAAAAAAAAAAAAAAATTAAATAAAAAAAAAGTTTAATAAATGATATAATATTTAATTTATTCATTAACAATTAACTGTTCAATATAAACAAACATAATATATTATATAAATTAGTAATTCTAAAAATAACAGTTATAAATTTACTATAAATGAATAACATGTATGATAATTATATAATATTTAGAATGGAAATATATAATTTATACATACATATGTTCCTATATCTGCTTTATACATCTATAATTAAATTATATTTTAAAATTGATAATACATTTTATAAATATATATAATGGATTAATAGTTAAATAATACTAAATATATTACATATATTACATAGATAGTGAAAATATAGCAACTCATGTTAGTTGATATAAATTATAATATTTAGATTTAATTAATAAATACAGTATATTGTAAAATAAAAACTTGTTTGATAATTACTAGAAACTAGAAAATACCGGAACAAAAATTACAATAAACATTAAATATTAAGTGTCTTATCATTCACGATTATATTCCAAATCATAATTATTAAATCGTAATCATGAAATTTTATATTTAAAATTTTCAGTTACATCCGTAATTCTGAAACTTAAACCTATAAATTTACAAAATCATTTTTACATAATCACATATAATATATTGATAACTAATTTCTCATGAATAATACCAATTCATGTTTCTTTTTGTTTCATTATATAATTAAAATTATTTCACATTTATTATTAATTTACACATGTGTTCATTATATATGTGTTTACGCTTTCATTATATTTAGAAAAGTATGAATTTATAGCTATAAGTTTTTCCTAAATTAATCTGAATTATACACTATATTATATCCATTATTTATTGATATACTTTTAAAATCTTCATACTGATGCAAAATATTCATTTCTTCATCTTCATTTTTGAACTCATTTATTTTACTTTTTAATTTATAGGTTAAGCGTGTATAAAATGAGGTATACTATTTCATTTAGAAAAAAAAATATATGTATTAAAGCATACATTATTTTTATTATTAATATATTTCATTATAGATAATTTAAAATTTTTACTTTTCAGTAAAAGTATATTGGAACAATATCATAACTAACCTTAAGGACATAAAATAACAACAGTAATACTACTAATGTAACGAGAATTGAAATTATAATAATATCCTTTGTATTAGTTTGCATAGAGGATGACATTTCTTGTTTATCACTTTTAAATAATTCATATTTTTTTTTTTCAATATATTCTTGAATAATTTCTTTTAATGTTTTGCAAAAATTATTATTTTCACCTTCTTCTTCTTCTTCCTCTCCTTCATTTTTCTTTTTGTTTAGACATAGATATGCTTCATATAAATATTTGACTTCTTCAATATGATTATCGGAATTATTATTAGCCCCATATGATTTACATGTGTTCTGTGTGCCTTCTCTTTGTAATTCATTTAAAAATTCTTTGTAAAGATTTTTGGCAGCGCAACTTATACCCCTTTTCATAAGTTCATGATACATCCAATAATACACGTAAAAGCATTGGGTATATTGAGATATATCTCCCCTAATACGAGAAAATTCATATATATATGACATAGCGGTGGTGCATATATTATAATTATCCAAAATAATATCAGTTGGATATTTTTCCATAATACGTTTACATTGATTTCTGTAAGTATTACTCCCTTTATGACTTTCTAACTGTTCTTTAAATCCAGGGAAAGAACTTATAAATTCATACTAAAAATAAAAAAAAGTCTCATTATAAAAAAATTATATACGAAAATAGTAATTTTTATAATAATTATGAAATAAGGAATACACAATTATAACTACAAATATAATATTATATTAACAAAAACATACAATGTTAGACAACATCTAAAAAAAATTATATACTAAGTTGGGTTAATATAAAAAAATTAATGAAAAAATATGTATATAATTATTTAAAACTAATAACTGTATATATAAAAAATAAATTTCTCAAAATTTTTAATAAATATAAAAATTATACAATAAAGCTATCAACATAATTGATCGTTATCTTTATTTTAAGTTAAGAATATGGTATTATATATTTGAGTATATGTATTATTTAATTAAAGAACCTCAAAATAAAGAACAAATATTTATTACATAATTAAGAAGCTGTTAATATATATTGTTAAAACGTAATAAAATAGCTTTTATTACATAAAAATGACATCATTATATTAATACTATATAATGAATGAAAAAACATCGTGCTAACGTCAATCATACATTTGAGTATGTATATTTATATATTTCTATTTATTACTGAAATTTACATAATCTTATATATAATTTAACATAAAATATATTTGATACATATATATAATGTTGGAGAATTTAGGTTTTATTATTAAATATGATTTTTTATGTATTCATTGAATTCATCTTCAATGAGAAATGGTTATATAATTTTTCATAATAGTACATATATGAAATTTTTTTATTCCTATTACATCATGACATTCATATAGGGAACATATATTTTATTATTTTTTCAGTTAGATATATTATATAATTACATACTTTATATATAAATCATGTATACTAGTAAAATATATACATAATTACACGTGACATTTGTAATATTTATTACATTTATAATATATATATTTATATTTTATTTTCCCTCAAACGAAATTTTTTAAAACATATATTTACAATTTATAATAATTAGCGCTATTCTGCACTATATTAGAATATTTATTGCTATAGATTTTCATTTCATATTTTTATTAGATATATTCCACATAATTATATTTCTTTTTTTAAAAATTCATATTATCATTTTTGTATTTTTTTTTAATAAAAAATATTTATAGATGAATAAATATATATATATATTATGCATGCTAATAATAATTTATGTGATACTGTAAAAAAATAAGAAAGGTTATATTTTCTTATTGTATGTTGTCATATTTTTGTTTTCTGTTACTGCTAAATATATACTGATATACTTTTTTGTATATAAATCCTTTTTAGGCGATTATATAAAGTAAAAATTATATATTCCTTTTTCTTCTATTCATTTGAGTTGAATGGTCTATTATCTAAATATATATTGAAATATTATTCAGGAATAAATATGATATATAAAGATATTATAATTAGTTATATGAAAATGTATTTTTAAATAAAATTATACTTAAAAATTTTATTTATAATAATTTTGTAAAAGAAAGCATGTATAAATTATTGTAAATTGAAGAAAAACGGATTATTAGATACTATGAATATCTTCACATATGTTTTGATTTAAATTAAACATTAGTTAATATGTAGGACCTAATTTATCAATAGCTTTATACTGATTTAATATGCAATTTAATATATAAAAAGTATAACAGATATTTTTTATATTTAGAATTTGAATTAATTTTATATTTTTTAATGTTTCATGCTTTTAATGAATATTTGACCTTATTATTATATATTAATCGATTACTGATGTATATGATTTTTTAAATATTTATTCATAAGCATTAAGGAGCGCCGAACTTAATTTATTACAATTTTTTCCCGAGGATCTCGAAAATCTATGCTGTTTTAAAGATAATATGTTTTATGGGAAGCCTTATTATAATTAAAATTTTGGCTATAAACATATATGGGCATTACTGAATATTAAATAAGAATTTTTTTTTATGAATTAAATTTTTATCCATGATATTATAATTTTTTATATATCATCATACATTATAGGTATGCCATATATTATATTTATAGAAATGTACATATAAAAAAGTATTAGATAATTAATATAATTGCAAAAGATTATTTTATAAAGAAAAAATATATAATTGAAAAAAATATTATAAAAAAAGAGAACCATATATGAATTTATTAATATATAATTTCATGTGATGTTGAGTACATAAATATTAGATAAAAAAAAAAAAAATGACAAAGTATGATCACTTCATTATGATAAGCTACAGAATAATTTATATAATATATTTTTTATTATAAAAATATAATTATTCATGAGAAAAGAAAATATAACTGATTAAAATATATACATTTTTTTTTATCAAAATCTATATTCTATATTATAAATAAATTAGAAGCCCCAAAAAATAAAATATAAGGAATATAAAATAACAAAAATGGCTATATATAAAAAATATTTAATGTTTGTATTTTCTTACATAATACCGCTTATTGGAATAATAAAACCAAATGAATTTTGAAATTCTTCATTTATATTACTTAATTTATTATAATGTTAAAAAAAATTTTTGGAATCATAAAATCCAAATGTGTAAAAAATAAAATTATTTAATTTCAAAAAATTACATATCATATCTATTAAAGACATATTTATTCTCTATTAGAGAATAACTATTTTTATATAGATATATTATTTTTTTTGTTATATTATAAAAGTATTTAAAACCAAATATAATGGAAAATTTTTATTTAGAATTTTATATATATATATTTTTTTAGCCATAATAATATCCGTGACACGTCTATATATTTTACAGAAAGATTCATATTTTCATGATATGACAAATAAAACAAAATAAATTAAAAATATCGATGTGGAGAGGTAATTATATTTATTTACATAGTCAAGAATATTTGAAGCTTTTTTATCATCATACATATTTAAAAATCTCTTTTTTTTATAGAATAGTTGCAACATACCATAACATTAATAACATACATGTATTACTATAAAAAAAATAAATTTATTATTTTATAAGATTGGCAACATAAATATGTTAACTATAAGGGCGAAACTTCATTAAGTAGGCATATATATTATTATTCAGAATTATATGATTGGTATTTACATGTATATTAAGGATAAAGAAATATATATATAATGGCATGATTCTGGTTGAATTATGCATATATTTTATTAAAATACGAGCTTTTTTTTTTTTTTGTTATAAATTTTTTTCAAATGTATTATACATAGAAATATTATTTAATATATTATCTGGTAAATGAAACTTATACATATTAAAAAATTACAATCAAATATTTCTGGCTTCATAAAGAAGTATAATATAATAACATGTTTTTATACACATTTTTTGAACATGAGGAAAAATGTTTTTCCTTTTAAAAAAATTGAAAATATTTTAAAATTGAATATTTTATTTAAAAAAATAATTTTAATGAAGTTCAACCTTATTGTATTCATAAAATAATGTAACATAAATATATCGGGGAATACTATTTTCTCGACAGAAAAATTAACTTTTACTTATACCCATTTTTATAAATATACTATGTACTTATAGTTTATACATTATATATTATATGTATAAATATGCGCAGTTATTTTATTATACAAGTATGTAATGATTAACCAGCTTCATGTTCATTATGAAATATCTCTCTATGTAGTATTTCTTATTTTTTCAACTCTGTATAATAAACATGAAATATTATAATTCCATCATGATAAGTGTTTAAGGTATTAATCAACGGATTTTCATTTTTTACATATATAAAATAATGTTTATGTGTGTAATTACCTCCTGAAACATGTATATAACTCATTCTTTATTTTTTGAACAATGTTTATAGTTGTTCTAGTGAAATTACTATAGAAAAATAATAAATACAATAATTTTACAGATTATCCAAAAAAGAAAAAAAAATAAATTACTTATAAATTGAGAATGTACCATTAAAAAAAAAATAAGTAACATACACATTTTATGCTATAATAAGCGTACATGCGTACACTAATAAATATCTATGTGCTAAAGTTCTACGTACTAATAAAACAAATAATGAATGATTTAAAATTATTCACAACAAAATTTTTAATAACAATTGTAAACAATTAGAATTAATAATTATTATAAATATGTGTATTTTATAAAAATCAATGAACCGTTTATGATATTATATTTCACAATAGAATGATATGTGTAGACATTAATTGTGTGCAATATATTCAATTAATAACACAATTTTGAATTCTCAGGAATGTTACTCTATAAATATATAAATTATATAATTATTTTAATTATATGATAATGTTTCTTATAATAAAGGTCTCAGATTTATGAAAATCATCGTATGTTAAGTGAGGACAACCATAACGTATATTCGTAAAACCTTTATTCAATATATATAGACAAAAAATTTTATATATTAATGGACACTTTTTTAGAAATTTTATAATTCCTTATATAAATTATTATATATTTCTTTTTATTATAAGTATTATTATAGCTTTATATAATGATTTTATGAGATATATTTATCATATTATTTTGCTTAACCATATTTTTTTGTTCTTTAATTAAAAGTGTTGTATAGAGATATATGTATAATTAATTTTAAAGTAGGATGCATTTATTAAATATAATATCTACTATATTTTGGAATATTACTTATAACACCAAAATGTTGCCAAATATGGCATTAATCGATTATGTTTTTCCACTAATTATTTAAACTTTTTGTTACATGTCATATAAATGAATCTAAAGGAGTAAACTAATAAAAAAAAAAAAATGTTGTTAAAAAAATATAACTTATAGATTATTTTTTTATTTTTATCTAAGAGCATTATTCCACAATACAAATATTTATAAATAACCTAATAATTATCCTTGCTAAGACTAATTAATAATAAGGATATAACTAAAAGCACAATAATTGGGATTAAAATGGGAAAGTTCTTATTATTATATGGAATGAAAGTAATATTTTGTTTTTAATGTTACCACAATTGTGCGCTGTTTTTTTTATTACATTGGGATAAACTGTTTTTTAATATATTAGAAAAACATGGATATATATTGAATTCCGACATAATTTTGTATTTCATATATAATTAAAGTATAACCTTGGCATAATAGTCTTTTTATCAA